GGTTTTATGGCGCACTTGTGAACTTTGTCAAGAATATGAACGTGCTTCTCAGACCATGGCCCCCAAGCCGTGGTTGCTTGCCTCAGAGGAGAATGAACGGTAGTTACACTAATGCTGCTACATTTTTGACATCTCAGCTGTCACGCTGTCGACAATATTCGTTTCTGATATATCATTTCTGATATTCGTTTCTCTGAATTTTAGGGCTGTGGTGCGTTAGTTAACCATTGTGTTTGCCATCAGTTTCAAAGAGTTACACTTCCTACAGTGCATTGTCCCCTTTTGGCGTTAGGTGATCAGAATGCCTTTGCAGGTTAGTGTGATGTCGGTAGGGGATGCGATCGAATGGCATGTGGCATGGCAAAACCTTCGTTGAGTCTCTCATTAGGGTCAGGATAATACTTGTGCGAGGAAGGCGATTTAAAAATGCACTGTAGCACGTTATTAACATTACACGTAAATCTGGCAAAAGCAGTCAGCCACGAATGCACTTATTTTTTAACAACATCTCAAGGAAACAGTAGGAGGAGGAGGACATTCTTGACTCATGTTGGACTATGCCTTGCAGAAATTTTTCGTTCGCCTCGTCCTTTAATCATAAATGGGTCTTTCTGCCTAGGCGTGAGGGACTTCATAGAACACGATGCCTCCGTAATCTGTTACGCATGCAATACAGAAGGTTAGTTGTAGACAGAACATGTACTGAGTACGAGAGACAGCAAAATTTGGGGGGCTTGCAGAAACGGCCGTTTATATGGCAGGGGGGAATGTCATAGGCTGAGGGATGGCCAATTAGCACAAAGGAGGTCAGAACAAAGGTACATGACCTTGACCGTTCGTTTGTCACGCGCATGTGGTATGGTGTCCTGACAGCCCGGGCAGCATACGCTGTATCCTTTCACCCCAAAGTGGGACGAAGGGAGGAAACTGTAAAGGTAATGGTGGATGGATAAACAATGTTGGTTAGATCGCAGTTGGTAGCCAGGAACGGGAAGCGGACGGCGACCTAACCCTAATCCTAACCTTAACCCAAACCCTTACCTCAACATTAAACGTTAACCGTTAATCCTAACAGCAACCCTAACCCCAAACCTGACTGAAATCGTATACGGAACCGTAGCCCTTAGAAATAGCCGTAACTGGAATACCTAACTGTAATACTGAAACTTAATCGTTCGCTCAAACCCTAACCGTAACCCGAAAACCTAAGCCTAAAGGCATAACTCTAACCCGAAGAGCGGGAACAATTTACCGGCTCCCTAATCCTAACCTCAACCGTAAAACGGAAGCCAAATGGGTCACGTGTGATTATGGGGCCCCACAAAATAGCCCCAGTAAACAAACCCTCCAGCCACCTGTAATACGGGGCCTGGCTACCAACTGCGATCTAGCCACAAGTGTTCCAATGAAATTTGTCCTGAAAGCGTTGGACAGGTTTGCGGATTCGTGTCGATCTTCTCAGGACGATATTTTCTACATCTGCGAGGTCTTGTGGAATCACTGGGTCCTCGGACCCTAAGTTAGTGCTGGTCGGGGTAGAAGGAGGAGGGGGAAACTACAACTCGGCAGGTGGGGTGGTCCTCTCTGCAGGCAGAAGATTTTCAGTCTTCGAAATGCCAGGATCACCATCAAGGGTTGCCTGCAGTTCAAACTTCCCGAATTCTCCACTTACTGTGTCCGTTCAGCTGCCAACTTCGTCCAGATTTCGACACACAGTTCTCCCACCTTTTAGCTCTAATTCTACTATTTGCCCCTCGCTTGTTCGAACTATCGCTGGGCACCAGTTGGTTTCTTGTTCTAGTCGCGTGCAGACACTTTCGTTAGGCGCGACGCCTCGTGGTCGGGTGTTCACATCATATTGTGCTTTCATTTTCGTCTGTTTTTTTTATGACTTTAACATGAGTTGGAATAGAAAGCAGGTCGATCGTCAGCACAACTGCGCTTGAACATTAATTATGCAGGCGAAGAATCGGCTGAGTCGTTTGGTATTATGCGATAGCTGAACATAAAGCGTGACAACTTGGTAGCAAAGTCCGCTTCCGTCTGTTTGGAAAGTCCGTATTTTGTTGTCTGAACTGCGCGTTCTGCGAGGGCATTAGAAGCAATGTGTAAGGGGCAGTAGTTAACTTTCTCATTTCATCTTTCTCCAGGAATCGTTTATACTGTGCACTAATAAAGGCTGGACCATTTTCTGACACAACCATTTCAGTTATCCCAAAAGTAAAAAACAATTCGCAACTTGTTGATTGTAGTCAGTGAAGAACAGGAATTTCCCGCCAGCATCGCATCACTTCATTTAATGTGGGCGTCAACCACCAACAAGACCATGTGGCCTTGGAATGGTCCAAAATAATCGACGTTTACCCTCATCCACGGCGAGACGGGCAGACCCGTGGCTTCATAAGCAACTTCGGTAAGGCCTTCTGTGTTATTCGGCGCACGTGACATGCTTTCACCAAGTTTTCGATAGATCGACCCGAATCCGCAAACCTATCCTACGCTTTCAGGACGAATTCCATTAGAACATTGTTTATCTACCCACTAATACCTTTACAGTTTCCTCCCTCCTTACCATGCTGTCCACTTTTGGGTGGAGGGCTGCAACATGCACTGCATAATCCACCTCTCGGACAAATAGTCCGGGGTACGTGAAGCCTACTCATCTTGCCACCTCAGTCCAGCCCGCCGCTCACCCTCATCAGTGTTCCGTTCTGACCACTGGGATGTCGTGGCCTATCTCAGGGTCTGCTTCAATCCAGACATCCGTGCGCATTTTTTTTGGTAGTCCTGTCTCGCTTCCTTCTCTACCTTTGTAAGTTAACCCTGACCCCTAGCTGAAACTGTCCTACTATCACTTCGTGTAGCGGTTTTTCTCCCGAATGATCTCGCCTGAACACTCGGGTTTCCTGAACTCTCTCTGTTCTTTAGGTGTTGAACACTGCTTACTGGTTCGTCAAAGTTGACTTATTTTTGCCAAAAACATTTAATTTTGAATGCACAGGTAGTAATATCCTAAGTATTATATCGTACGAAATGATAAGTCTTCAGAGAAACCAGAAAATCTCCCTATTTCATGTTAATCAGTATTTGAATTCTAATGTACAGTTTGTTGCTCACACAGAACTCTGGATCAAAATTATTGTGCATATCTTTTTCAAGATCGGCTTTCACTTTATATTGATACTGTCCTCCGGACGCTTAATCACAAAAGTATTGATCTTAAAATGTCGCTTTCAGTCGCCAAACCACCGAATTCGTGTGCCAATATCTTGACTTAAGGTTTGTTGCGACGCAGTAGCATACTCCAGCTGGGCCTAGTGAACTATTTTATAACATTCTGCTTGGCGTTAACTGCACAAGGGATGAGAGAACCAGTGACTGCCCTTCCTAAACGTTCTCGTCATTGGCCACCCAAACTGAGAGCTTGTCCTGATCTCAATTAAGTGCGAGTCCACTGCTGATTGTCGAATCCTTTTACGGTTGGTATATGATTGGCTACAGATAGACCTTGGAGTCCTAATTGACACCCCATATGAGATATGTGCATGCTGAGATTGGTCAATAGAGTCCGACACGGCTTTTAACAGGCAGCTATCTAACAGCTCTATGTGAGTTTCAATTTGAGGCAAATTTTCTACGCGTTAAACTTTAATTATGGTTTCACCAAAATGTGCCGAACTGCAACGGACACGACAAAGTTTTGAACTTTCGAAGCAAGCACTTCGTGTTCTAAGCTAACTAACAGAGGCACAGTCGCGCTAGAATTTCATTTTAAGAGCAAAAAATATGCTGAATTGACCCGGAAAAATAAACAGAACAACCACATAAAAGTGAAGGGCTGGTAACATGCCTCTACTCGTAGATATTTGTTGCCTAAGTGCCAAAAATACAGACAGGAAAGAGCAGCGAACCGTTTGCTAGGCCCTTCCATTTACGAGAAGTGTAACGGAGGCGATCGGTCGCGCTATCGACAACACTGACATGGATATCACTCACCGACCGGCAGCCTACGTGCGCAAAACGGGTATGCCGAAGCCCTCCCCGTAAATCGGCCAGACATACAGAATGAATGCTGGAGCCTCAAATAAGCCGCACGCCAACAGTTTGGTGGGGTGAGCTCATTTTCCGTCCTAACCTCCAAAGCGGATGAAAAATTCTGTTTCGAGGTTAAAAATGTGAACGATAAACGGTTAAGCGTCGGACAGACAGAGAGCTGCTGGTGGTCTACGTGTCTGACAGCAACTGTGAGCCCTTACACTGACCCATCCGGATATGCCGACCCGTTCCCAATTGCGGGTACACGCAGTGGACGTGAGCTCAGGGGCTACAGTAACCGGTTATTTGCAACAGAAAACGTATTGCCTATAATAAAGAGCCTCAACCGTGGTCCGATTGCCGATTTCGTCCTTTTATCATCTAGTAAGGTGGTCTAAAATATTCTTTGTATTCGTCCCACCCGGCCAATCAAGTAGAAAGGCGAAATTGTGCTGAGGCCAATATGGTGTCGAAATATATTTATTTGTTAAATGATTCTACGAAGACAGACTGTGTGGGAGTTGCGCACCCATAATAGATGTTCCACATGGAAGCGGTGGCACGCCTACGCGCAGGCACAAGCCGCGCCCGTCACTTGCATCCAACATCGGGTTTATTTTCACTCTGTCATGATATCAGACCCATGCGGAAGGAAAATGAGAGAGTGCAGGGGCTGCAGTGAAAATCTACTAGCATTATAAAACCATTCACGCGCAGTTCACAGTTCACACGCCCAGCCTTTCGCGGACACACGATGGACATCCTGAGTAAAACGTATTAAACTGTCATTTGTTCTGTGAACATAATTTTTTTTTTATGAAACAGTACTGCATGAATGCATTTCGGGTGTTGTTAAACAGAAATATCACGGATGAACTGGAGATGCTAGAGTTAAGAGAACCGATATGCAGACTAGGGGGGAGAGAATGAGAGTTCAGGAGAGGGAAGCAGCCCGCAGACGTTAATCACTCGGCCTTCTCGCAGACTCCTCCCTGCTGTTCCTGCTTCGCCGCCTTCTTGGCCGCCCTGATTCTCCTTTTGGCCCGCCACAAACGCTTTTGTAGGCGAATGTTGTTGAATAGCCAGTATATATCTCGCTTCAACGTCGCCAGATCCAGCAAAAGGAGGGCCACCAAGAAGGCGACGATGATTGAAATGACCACGGCCCCGACCTGTGTAGCGGAGGGTGCCTCAAGCAGTGGAGGGACATAGCGGCCGGCCGCAGTGGTATTCAGAATTTCGGGTTTTCCTATTTTTGTCGGCAGTGGTAGGCAGAAAAAAGTCATATTAATGCAAAAACAGGATATTTGTGGTTTAATATTATTGAGTGTGGTACGCTATGCTGATCTGCTGTGTCCTAACACTTCAACAACTTCGATTTGCGGAGAATATTTGCACACGAAGGGGACAGAAACACCCTATTTTAAGGTCTGCACCTGCCCCTGGACGTAAGCGTGTACCAGCCAGAAAGTCATACTACTGAAATACTTAGCGGAGGGATCATGAGTACAGTCCCGGAAGGCGTGGAATAGATGTAGCAATGAGTAAGGGACCATACGATTGTGTTACTCAAAGCCTGTGCGCACAATCGGACACTCATTATTAGGCAGCCGATTCAACCGCTCCCTGATGTGCGACTCCCTATTGTCCTTGACTGACTACCTATACTGACCTTCAACACGACATGCGAATGCGAACTTGAGCAGAATGACACTAGTTGGAATTATTTCCTTGTACTAAAAAGTGGAGGCTGATATATATTTTCTAGGAAGTGCTTGCAAATGCAAAAATAGGTAGTTTGGTGCGGCCATCCGCTAATCTACGCACATGCCCAACAATACTTAAAACCGTTGTGACTCGGTGCGTCATGATTTGTTTCAACGCCTTGGTCTGCAATGTTTACCTCCTTGTCGCCTACACTATACAGTAAATATGTTATTTCATGAAGTGCTGGCCGAAATTTTGAAATGTGTGCTCAGCTGAAAACGATTATTTACATAATATCGTAAAAGGAACCACCGCGCACCGTAACTGATAGATATTTCAGTTACGTCAAGTGTCATGATTTTGAGCGAGCTTTTATCCGGCCGCCTGCAAAAACTGCACGCCGTAAAAATGGCCTCTCGTGTAATATGAATTCTCCTATCGATTTTACATGCCCTCATAAATTCGACTATACTTCATTGAAAACATGCGCAAAAATATTCTTTTCTGTACTTATTTAGCAGCAAATTACGGTTTCTTTAAGGTTTGTACTTACAGATGGGGTATTATTTGTTTTTAAGGAATGGCCTTTTTCCTAAATAATTTTGAAACTGACCTGCCATTGCACCTGCATGTAGGGTTCCAAAGCTACGACCTGTAAATCTTCCCTGTGGTGAAAAGCATGTACTTATATATGCTACCAAGGAAAGGTCATATAGGGCTCAAAATATCGTATGGGAGATCTGGATTTTATTGTATACTACACAGGCAGCATTGACAAATATAATAGTGTGATGCTTTATGGAAAGACATTTCGTGGTCTTAAAAATTCCACAACAGGCAAATTTTAACATCAGAAAACCCATTTCTTCGTGAAGAGAACCCAAAGGATACGTGATTTGCTACTGATTAGGCACGGAAATGGATACTTTTGCATAAATCTCCAATAAAGAATATTTGAATTCATGAGGCGTAATTCATACAGTAAGTGGGCTAGCACATGAAATCTCAATAGAAATTTCGAAATGCATTATCGTTTCGAAAAGATTAATTAAGTAGGGTTTTAAAACCAATAATCCTGCAGCACAATTATATAATACTTTAGTTACCCCAGGACGCCGGTTTTCGAACAAACTTCTTTTCGGCTGCATCCATAAACGATACTCTGTAGAAATGACTACTTCAGTAGGATGCATTTTTTCAATACTTTTTGATGCTCTTTAAAATTCAAGTATTTTTCATAAAAAATGCACAACTATATTCATTCTTTTGCTCGCTCAGTAGACAATTACGCCTTCTTTTAAACTGACACTCGAAGAAGGGGTATAATTTGATTTTATAAAACATTTTTAATTCCCGAGTAATTTTGAACCCTACCCACCGATACACTTGCATTCGGAATTCGCAAACTGCAAGCCGTATATTTTCCGCGTAAGGAAAAGCACACATTTCTCTACTGTAATAAAATGGATCATACAGTGTTCATAAAATTTAGTAGCATTTATCGGTATTGAAAATTCTCACAATAAGAAATTTTTTAAAACCGAATTATAATTTTCATTTGAGTGTAAATTCGATGAAGAAGTAATTTTTTACTGAATAAACAAAATAATGAATATTTTTATGCATGCTTTCCAATAAATATAATTAAATCTTTGTGGGCATCGAAATTCAATGAAAAAATGCCTGCTACATAAGTAGTCATTTTTTGCGGAGTATAGTGTTCGGATGCAGCCAAAACGTTTGTTCAAAAGCTGGCGTCCTGAGGTAACTCGATTATTATAGAATTATATCGCGCAAGGATTTGTTTTACAACCCTATTTAATTAGCCTTTTCGAAACAAAAACGCATTTTGGAATTTCTGTTGACATCTCATGAGTTAGCCCACCTACTGTACTTCGTAGGCGACCACTTTTATAGAGTTTCGTCTTTGTAAGCGGTCGAGCAGAAATTCATTCTAGGGCTGGAGTCTTGGTGTGAGGGAAATTTCTTGCGGTAAGACTGCCCGTAGTTAGTCTTACTACGTGAATGTTGTGCACTCCAATTCAGTAGGTAGTCGAACCACCCTTTTTTGGTTCCGCTGAAGTCCCGGCCTATCTTGCACAGTGCACAGGCATTTGGGGCACGAGCAAACGGGCTGTAGCCGATCCCACCCTCGATCTTATTGACTTTGTGCTAATACCGGACTCCGATGGGTGGGGGAGAAGGGAGTGCAATCGATGTACTGTAAATTAACTCACGCGGAAGTAACCGTCTCTTCGCCCACTATGGCCTGGGAAAACGGTAGACATCTCCGGTAACGACGGCGATCTATAGTATATTTTACTATACTGTAGTGTATTCACTGACGTCGTCACGCCTACCACCGCCTGCATAATCTGCCGACCGCTACACTTGTAATTCGAAAATTCCTCCTTCATTTCTGCGAAAATTCCCATATGTTTTCGGTAACTCATTATCAGGCCGGTACATTTATTGGACAATGATCGTTTTCACTTTAGACAGGAGATAAATGCGTCTCAGAGGCAGGGTTAATCGGAAATCATGTTCCCAAGCCGCTCGCATGACGGAGTCACCCTGTTGAGGACGGTGGAGTTGGGGAGGGAGGGGGGGAGAAGAGGGGTATCAAATAGCTTATAAGTGCAGTGCGTGCCTATGACGACTCTCAGGGCGTCAGGACGGCGTAGGATCACCGTCCGGAGTCGGCCAGGGCAGACAGACTGCATGTGTCAACGTCTTCTGACAGAATGGTATTACCGACAAACACAAGGGAGACTGGAATGGCCATTTCTGGCTTATTAGCCGTCGTCAGCCAGCCATACCCCAGCCCGAAGTGTGGAACACCCGAGCCTCGAACTCGCGACCTGTTTGTTTAGAAATCCACGCCTTTACCCACCGGGCCACGAGCCCGTCTTCTGACAACAGAGTGTTGGGTTAGCTAGTCGAATGGCCACTGCTTCGGCTGTGGCTAGCACCCGTTTGAGCAGGACTTTAGAGTATTGTGCAATAATTTACCGTACTAACAACACAGGTATTAGCTAAAAGCCCAGACACGCGTGTTTCGCCGATCTTGTGCCGCTGCCTGACGCAGCTGCGAGGGGTTCGGCTCGTCAGTGGGTCCCCCAGCTTTCCCCGTGTGCTTTCTGGTATATGAACTCCAGTTTCAACTTGCCTTGCTTAATTTCCGAGGAAATTAATGCGCGAACTTGGAGTAACTCTTTCGAAACAGGCCTTTTCGGGCACGGTCCGAAATTTGATATGAATATTTGAGCTGAAATCCATCAGCTACTGCGGAATAACCGCTTAATATTCACTTTAGAGTAGTGTGTCGGTGCCCCGTATATAACTTTAAAGGCTTCTTTAGCGTCGGCTTGGTGGTTCGTATCGATTAGATGTGCGAGAATTAAACTCGAAATCTATCGATTTTCACCTCTACCTAGCCAGGCGGGCATGTGTTCTCGTATCCTCTTTTCCAGACGCCTCGTTGTACGACCAATATATGGCGCTCGACAAGGGCAGGCGAATGGAGAAATACACATGGATGTGGCCTGTAACGGCAGTCGGTCTTTGCCCCGCCCAAGCGTAGTAGGGGGGAGTTTGCGAAGAATACGCGCAAGTTTGCCGCCAGGAAGGCATCCGCGAGAGCTGTTCTAAGACGTCGTCTCATTAACTCGCTTGCTGCATCTCCTAGAAAAAGCAGTCTTAGAAATAAGTCTTTCCTCTCAGCATTTGCGACGGCAGGCTTTGTGGCACGCTCTCTAATATTTCGGAGGGTGAGTCGCTCTGGATGGCCGTTTTCGCGAATCAAGTTCTGCAGCTGCTGGAGTTATACTTGAACAGTTTCAGGAGAGCGGATGCGTCGCACTCTAGTAATCCTCCTTCACTCACTCCCATGCCAGTCCCCGTCCCTAGGCGAAGCACTGACTGATGAGTCGACTATTTCCTCGAAATTGATGGGGTCATGGCAAATAGCCGAATAGGCTGAATTGCCAAAGTGTTTTCCTCCTAATAAATGGGTTCATTCACAGGATAATCCATTGGAATTGGCGTATATCCATCTGAGTGGCTTCATTTATGCAAACTTGTCTTGTCCTCCGTGGGCACGGGTTCGCAGATGTAGCGTAGGTAGACTAACTCATGAAATGTCACCCGAAATTCCTAAATGCGTTCTCGTTACGAAAAAAATAGTTAAGTAGCGTTGTAAAACTAATTGTCGTACAGCATAATTCTATAACAATTCAGTTACCACAGGATGCCGGCATTCGAGCGATCTTCTTTCTGGCTGCATGCAAAAACTACACTTTGTGAAAAATGACTACCTATGTAGCATGCATTTTTCTCGTCGATTTCCTGTGCCCTTAAAAATGCAACTAAATTTCATGGGAAACACGCATAAAAATATTCATTCGTTTGCTCTTTCGGTACAGAATTACGTCTTCTTCTAATTTTATACTCAAAGAAAGGACATAATTCGGTTTTAAAAGTGTTTCTAATTGTGGGATTTTTTAGTACCGTGGAATGGTCGTTCATAAAACGTCATGTCTCTGCATTTACCAGTGTGACTTGTAAAGTTAAAAATATAGTTAAATTCCACTGCTAAATTTTACGAACCCCATATGGTTTCCTCTTAATACTGAAGAGAAGTTTACGGTTTTCCGTACGCGGAAAGTATAAGGCTTGTAGTTCGGAAACCCTGAATGCAAGTGTAACGGCAGGTCGGGTTCAAAATTACTCGGGAATTGGACATCTTTTTAAAACTGAATTATGCCCTTCCTTTGAATATCAAATTGGAAGAACACGTCATTTGTTACCGAGAGAGCAAAAATGAATATTTTCACGCATGCTTTACATAAAATCTAATTTATTGTTTAAGGACATCGGAAAAAAATGAGAAACATGCATGCTACATAAGTGGTTATTTTTTACAGAGTAAAGTTTTTGCCTGCAGCCGGAAAGCAGTTCGTTCCAAAGCTGGAATTCAGAGATAACCTAATTATTATAGAATTATGCTGCAAATTGATTAGCTTTACAACCATGCTTAATGAATCTTTTCGAAAAGAAGACGCCTTTCGTAATTTCGGGTGACGGTTCATGAGTTAGCTTACCTTCTGTCAAAGGGCAAAGGTTTGCCACCGTCGAGCCGATCGGAGAGCTTCGTGCCCAGAAAGATTTCTGATAGAAACGAGCAGGCGAGTTCCAGGTAACAGTTCAGAAGATGAAGATGCAATCGCTGGAACAAGAAACTGTGTGTTTCATTCAAACCTCCGGTCAACATAGAGCTGGCGAGACGCGCAGTACTTCAGCCCGGCCGACGAATGATCCGAGTGCTCCTTCAAGACTGTCACTCACGGATTCGCAAATACCGTCAGAGGATTGACCAAGAGAAAGCAAGGTGCTGCGAGTTCATGGGCGAGGACGGCATAAAACTGCTTCAGCAGAGGCTGGCCGAACGAACCCGCGAACATAAAGCAACGCGAGAAGCAGCCCTAGAGAACAAATTTCGTAAGCTGCCTGCTCCAATGTCATCCAAGAACGACAAACTGGTGCACAACTTGTCGTCAAAGGAGCTGACGGAGGAACAAATGCAGGTTTTACGGCATGAGGCCTCATTCAACACAGCCGATGCCAAACCTGCCAACATGATCGCAGCAGTGGAATCAATCCTCAGCCAGACGGGAGCGACAGACGAAACGAAGAACCTCATTCGACACCAAGTGTCCTCCCTCCTCATGGCTCATAGGCCGCGCGATGTGCTTTCCAAGGTCGAGCGCAATGCACTTAACGAACTCAGGGCCGACAACGACCTCGTTATCGTGCCTGCGGACAAGGAGCGTTCAACGGTCGTATTGGACAGGAAAGACTACAATCAAAAAGCCAAAAGCTTGTTGGAGGATCGTCAGTCCTATGTCCTATGCGAATCCAATCCCATAAAAACGCTGACACGCGAGATTAACGCGATGCTGTTGGCAATGGGAAACTCAGGTGCAATATCGCCAATCGACAGACGCATGGCGAGAGCACAAGAAACGGCCCTTGCCCGGTTCTACGGTCTCCCAAAAGTGCACAAAGAGGGCGCTCCTCTACGGCCTATCGCATCACTAAAGGGCACTCCAACCTACGGACTGGCAAAACGTCTCAAGTTCCAGACCTCCGATTCGAACACCACGGTCAGCTCGTCAACGCAATTTTTGGAGAAACTTAAAGGATTAAGTCTCCTGCCAAGCGATGTCATGGTTTCCTTGGATGTCTCGTCCCTTTTTACTTCTATCCCGTAGGACCTGGCAGTCGAGACCATCGAACTACTCCTACGAGAGAAATACAGCGAAACGGAGAATCGCCTCAGACACGCCCAAATCATCCAGCTCCTGAAGTTCTGTCTCAAGACGTACTTTACTTTCGACGGAACAATCTACGAGCAGGTGAAGGGTTCGCCGATTTCGGGACTCATAGCCGAGGCGTGCTACAGCGGCTGGAGTTGCTGGTTTTCCGACACCACAGACCGAAATTCTGGGCTCGGTATGTGGATGACACCTTCGTCGTCATCGAACGGGATCAGGTGCTGACATTCAAAGAACATCTCAACGCCGTCTTCACGGACATTCAATTTACTATGGAGGAGGAGGCGGAAAAAAATCAGCTGGCCTTCCTGGATTTACTCGTCTGCCGCAAAGATTGTGGTGGCCTAAGAACCAAAGTGTTCAGGAAAGCGACAAATACGACGCAAATACTGAACTCCAATAGCAACCACCCGATCAGTCACAAACGCAGTTGCGTAAGGCTGCTATACCGGCGCAATGAGATGCACTGCAGTGAAATGGAAGACAAGGTGGCCGAATTACAATATCTTCGACGGGTAATGAGAGCCAATGTTTACCCGCGCAACTTTATCAACCAGTGCATACGAAAAGGACACCAGAGACTAAATCCAACCGGCCCCAAATTTTGGCGGGCTCTTCCGTACGTGAAGAACGTCTCGGAAGCCGTCAGTCGTCTTCTCACTCCACTTGGAGTTGGGTTACACACAGGCCGGAAGCAACCATTAGGCGACAAGTCATAGGCCAAAAGACCCGCTGCCACGGCAGGAAACGTCTGGGGTCGTTTACCGGATCTGACATAGTTGCGGACAAAGCAACTATGTCGGAGAAACTGGGAGATTACTACGTACGCGAATTGCCGAGTACGCAGCAGCAGTGAGGCGGGGAGACGCTAACTCTCAGGTGGCGACACACTCAACGAGACCCGGCCATATTTTCAAATTTCTAGAGGCTGAAATCCTCGCAAGGGGTGACAACCGCGTGAGCCGCGGCCTGCTCGAGTCATGGTTCTCAGGCCCGCAATCCATCAACAAGCCCAATGACCTCCCTGTACCATATTCCGTGCTGTGATTTTCCCTGGGCAGGAGAATCAGTCACGTGGGGAGGGCGCGGGCGAGCAATCATCACGGTGACAGTGAGCCAGTTTGCCGGGCAATCGTCACACCAGCATCTAGCACGGATGACGCAATCTCGATAATTAACGACTCGGACTCGGACCGACAAGCCTCCATCGCATCAATTACGACCCCAACGGTGATTGCGAACACTGTTAATTGCAGTGCGCATACGGTCCACGGCAGCCACGTGCTATATATACTGCACTCCTGGTGCCACCATTACCTTTATCTGCGAATATCTCTATGGATGAATTCGAGTGAGAATCCGAAACGTTAGACCAATAAATTTCTTGTTCCAGCGATCGCATCTTCATCTTCTGAACTGTTACCTGGAACTCGCCTGTTCACGTTTAGCAGCAAAATGCGCTACGTTAAAGACGTTGAGAAAATCTCGCATGAATTTCCACTATCAGGTTTCCTGAGATGGGTCACGTACAGTATGTTTTCAACTGCCGATGCAGGCGTAGATGCGAGCTCCAGGACCCAATTGATCAGAAGTAAAGGAGAGCGCTGAAACCAGAGCTTTATTCGCCTGAATTTTCGAATTTACGCTCAAACCCATCATCAGAGTCAGTGACAGATCCAAATCTGCATTTTTGTAATGTAAACGTTGTACAGCATAATTCCAGGATTCTTCTGACACGCCAGTGTGTTGACTTTTGAATGCACTTCCTTTCGACCGTCTGCGAAAACTACGATCTACAGAAATGACTGCTTAACTAGTGTGGACAGGCTCCGTCTATGTTCCATGTCCTCGAATATTTAAATATATTTTCTGAAAAATCTCAATTAAGGAATTATTTCATGTACTGTTTGGATAGTAAATCACGCTTTTTTCAAATATTTTACTTGAGGAAGGGGCATCTTTTCGTTTTTATAAGGTCTTTCTACCTCCAAATAACTTTGAACTCGATCTGCCTCTGACTCTTCTTTTAGGGATTTCGTTTTTCAGACTGTAAACTTTCCGCATAGGTAAACTCATGCATACCTTTATGCCGTTAAGAAAAAAAAGAAATGGTCTCAGATTATGTTTCAGCGAATGTAGACCATGCTGTGTACTTAATAAGGAGTGATATTAAGCGCATATGTACGACGCCACTCGAATCGATTTTGCACTGAATTTAAAATCACACAACTCGAAACTTTCTAAATTAAAAAATGTCCTATCTTAGAGTATAAAATTTAAAGAAGAGAAGCAGGTTTTCTGCAGGCTATTTTTGATTTTTAAGGGGTATCGAAAATCGACAGGGAAAATTTGTACTATTTAAGTAGTTTTTTGCCAAGTGCGTTCTTTATAGGCAGCAGAAAATAAGTACATTAATTACCCAACACGCTGGCATATCCGGAAAATCGCGGGATTATGCCACACAAAATATTCTCTATTGCAATCCCACTCAAGCATTCCCCCCTAATTGATAACGTACCTCCGAATTTCGGCCAATAGTTCCTTAGATCGTTCAGTGACTGTATATCAAGTAAAGCCACCCTGTCTTCGAAACATTGCTTGCTAAGCCTCGCGGTAATCTGTTGCCAAAATAAAATATTTGTCACTGACATCCTACACATAGGGCTACCCGCGTTTTTTCATTGACAAATACGCGGCTGGAAACGTATCTTTACAAAGGAGGCTTCATAAGTCTACCTATGGTTTACGAGAATACGAACGTTCTTTTTGGAGACACTGCGTTTAGGAGACCGCGTTACCTCGCATTTCTGACGAAGTACCGGCGAACTTCTTTAAACTCACCGAGACAGCTTGTGAGCTGAGGAAGCCATTTCCCCAGCGCCCCACAGGTGATGTTCTGATCGGGGTCCTTTGTTACCGTCTCAAAGCCCTCCTGGCAGACATATCGGATTACAGTTTCATAGGGATACTCACGGGGCTGCAGTTTGTTTGTCGTGTACTGCGTTCCGTTCGCAAAGGTGATAGTAAAATTCGGCTTAAATTTGTCCTCTATTCTCATCAAAACGTCCTCATACATGCAGGTAACGGCTGCCAGGAAAAGAGGATAAAACAGAGTGATTAAGTAAATGATCACAGATTCAGTTAGATCAGCCGTAGTAATACAGCCCCTTCTAAAGTAAACAAATCCCAGCCACCTGTTCTACGGAACAGTGAGTAATAGAGGATTCTGCAGATTGGGCCGGGGTCAAGTAGTTGTATGCAAAAGAAAGGCTATTAAGAATGCGCGGCTGTACTCTGAGTGTTTGAGAAATAGTAACCATAACCCTTAACCCTAACTCCAACTATAACCCCTAGCCCTAACTCCTAACCATAACCCCTAGCTTTAACCACCAACCCTTGCCCTCCGCAGTATTGTGTTCAGAAGGTGCGGTACATAACCATATCTCGCCTTCACTTCTTGAGAACGGAGACGAAAGCTGCAACTACTAGTATCTAGCCACTTGCAAAGATAAGAGCTAATCCAACGGTGGAGACATGAATTTGTCGGTTAGATGGTAGTTGGTAGCCCTCCCGGTACCGAAAACTCTCAGCTACCTGACTTACGGGACCGGTGGTAATTGGTGGTATACGGGTGGGGCAAATGAGTGGAGGCGTAAATGACGCTTGTAGGGAATGCCTGGAATGGACGATCCTGATAAAGTGGAAACCTAATTTAAATAACGTGAAAAATGCGAGGAAGGTGAACACTTCGGGTCTGACTGGCGTATGAGACGCCTTGCTGTTGTAGTCTTAACCCATGAGGTAGTAAGTGCGCGATGTGGTAGGTGAAGTGCGCCCAGTTCAAGCCCAGCAATGTCGAAGCGCCCGGGGGGGGGTGCCGTAGTGCCTTAAACTGGAAGTGCAGGAAAGGATCGCTAACTGGCCATGGCGGTGTTTACAAGGCGTCACAGTTTTCAGCCAAACCCCTGCGACCAAATACAATCGGGCTGTTCGTAAAGGCGGGGGGTGGAGGGCAACACTCTGTCAATAGGACTGATGCAGTGGATGGAGTATCGGTAGACACCCTAACCGAGCGTCGGTTGTCCTTTCGTACACGATCGCACCGGACTCTACTGGAGGTGTGGAGTAAAAAGACCCAAGGATGCAGGCAAACCGACGAAACGGATACCCCCGCCAATCCGCCTAGGATAGTACCTATGCAATTAATCTGATGCAGGTAATACTGTGCGCACATGCAATTAGAAGCATAATGGGAAGCATGATGAATCATAATCCATTTAGGATAAATCTTTCACCTTTTACTAAAGATTTCCGTGTGGGGGTGCAATACAATGAGTCTATATAGACAGTCTTGCAGCGCCTCGTCCTCGGGGCGGTTAAAGTGAAGAAGAAAGTCATCCTGGCAGGGCCTCTGTACGTGCACCCCCCAGACATAATGAGAACGTTATCACAGATACCGAAATCGAGCCAGTAGGTACAATTGTAGAATCAGGGGGCAGGGCTACCAACTATCATCCTGCCCTGCAATATTTTCCGAACTCCTACCGGGCGTCCACCACTGGATACGCGGGAACGGAAACCTTTACGGGACGAGACAGTAGACTAACTGTTAACATTGCGGCTGTGTATATGTTTTTCCTCATGTGCGTTCCGAAAGTCGCCAGTCTCGAGGGATAAGTACTTGTTAGATTTGCGTCTTAGTACTCCAGCCGGGGCAATGCACCTCCGTGATTTTTACGAGCGACTACTTGCAACGTTCAAGAGCACGTTGCAAAACGGGACTTTTGCATGCTTTTCTTCAATACTCGCGCTGACGCCCATATTGATCATACTTTGACCAACCACCCCAAGCTTATTTGTGGTAAAAACAGAGCTCCATTGTCATGTTCGGATCATTTTGTGTTATTGGGTCTTCTAAAAATCAATTACACTCCTAAAATTGCGCTGTTTACCAAACCTGAGGGAAAGGTTCGCTACACGTCCGCACAAAACATTCACTTGCTTAAGACCTGTGTATCTTACACTATCCCCTTCTCCCCAAACTATCGAAAGTCAAACCGCACTCTGGCCACCTTGTACGGTTTTTAAATGAAATTTTTAATGTTGCGAAAATTCTCATAACAGTATTAGGAAGACGAGTTAGCCAGCATACGTTGTTTTCGATAAATTCTCCTCGGGCCAGTACAATTGTTTTGGAAGGACTTACAATCAAACATTTCGATGATTGGAAAACCAGTAAAAGTTATTTTGAAAACATGGACGGGTTTAGAGGGGAAGGCGCAGAAAGTTTCAAGTGGTTGATTAACCTTTGACCACGGTAAGCGCGGAGCCTGAACCCGGTTCTACTGGGCGTATAGGGTCGGTTGTCATAACCTGATTGCGGCCGCTTCTGCTGTTGCTAACATGTGCTGGTCCAGTAGCTTAGGATAGCACGAGGGGACCTCATAAATCACACGAAATGCTTCAGCGGTGTCCACACGATGTCCTCAATCCACTGCATGCGCAAGGATGGCGCTGTCTATTCTCCTAGTTTTACCTTTTGCCAGCCATGCACGAAGGTGCTCTCGTATTCTTTTGGAAATGCGCCGACTCGTACGACCAATATAACCTGCTCCACAGAAGCAAGTGAATGAGTAGATGTGCATTGAGGCGGTCTGAGGTGGCAGCCTATCTTTGCCTTCTCCGCGTAAAACAGGGTTAGTGGAGAATGATATGCGACCCCTTGCTGCTGGAAAGGTTCCTGAGACAGCTAGATCAAGGCGTCTTCTCAGGAATATACTTGCAGCGTCTCCTTGGAAAGGAACTTTGAGGAACAACGTTTCCTTTTCGGCGGTTAGTGTGGCGGGTTTTGCGGGTCTTTCGACAAGTTTCTTTGCAAGGAACATGTCAGGATACCCGTTATGGCGAAGTAAGTCCTAGATTTTTTTGAAGTTCCTCCTCGATACCATTTGTGGAACAAATTTTTATCGTTGGAGAGATACCTGGCAAGCGTGTCCCCAAGACCCTATTTGTTTGGACATAATAGAGCTGTCTTTATTCACTCTTAGTGACATTGGTGCTATAAGGAAATTCAGTAGTATACACACATGGCATATCTGAGTACTCGCCGCCGCAGAAAGCTGCCAGGACTCGCGTCCAACTGGCCTGGTCCGTTGGCTGGTTACCAGATGGACAAATGCAATGCGAATGCACAGTGGTCACAGATGGAGTTGTAGCAGCCGCTCCAGCCCCCCTTTTCTCCGGCTCCATTTTGCCGTTCGATTCCCGCGACAATCGTTGCCAAGCCGCTGACAGACGACCACCCACGCCGGCTAGAACTGGGGCCCCTCCTGTGCAGCTGCAGTGACTTCCGGTTGCCCTGAAAAGCTATTATCACCTCACGCGCGTCGAACGACCTGGCTTGGTACCCGGGAGCCCCTGTGACTATGCTTCCCCCTAATCCTCCCCTAATCCGTCCCATCTCATGATCAGCACTCAGCCAGTCACGTCCCCCCCCCCCACCTACTGACACAGACATTCACTCCGGCGTAAACTACGCATCGCGACTGACGCTCGCCGTGAACGGACACTTATCTCTGTTGCAAGCAAACAGCCAACTTACGGCAACCTGCCCTGTGTACAGAATAAACTAGTTCTCACAGCTCCTTGACTTCTGACATTAGACGAAACGAAATTATTGTGCGTGATCTAAGTTGATCTCACATCCTTGCCTGCACAGAGTGTAGCCAGTAGCACTACCGAGAGAAACTTAGTAACTATCAAAAATGGTTGTTGTTACTGCGTCAGGTTTTTTGTTTAAAATTCCTGTTTCTTCATCTAATAAGTATGTCTTGTTACGATAAATATTACTACTACTACTACTACTACTACTACTACTACTACTACTACTACTAAGACAATGCATGAAATGATTTGCTGGCAAGGAAACTCACGTGTGCATGACTCTGGGATGGGAAGCAGGGTACCGCTGTAGCCAGCCCATGTGCTCTGATCCGTCGTGCCCTCAATCAGGGTACATTCGATGAACTTTTGGAAGGTTCGGTCTTTGAAGAAGTAACCCTCGTCGCATTTGAAGGTCACGACGTTGCCGAATCGGTTAAATTGGCTCACCTGCAACATGCCATACCGTTCTTCCGTTAGCTTGCTTCGCGCTCCCTTCAGCTGCCCGAACTGCGGCACCATTTCTAACATTGCGGTTTGATTGCATCGAGTAACTACAAATGGCAAAGGACAATAAAAGCATGACCTGACAGAATAAAGAACCCTTTTATAGGTAGGCTGCTTAGTGATACAACCACATTATGCGCCAAAACTCGTGAGATCCTAAGCGAAAGCTTAAAGGAGGTTTTTGAGTGAATTGGATACAAGAATAAGTTTCCGACGCTAGCGGATACGGAAAAATTGTCGCTACCTTACCAGTACAGCCTGCTGGCATTCGACTTACAATTGTCTCATACGCGAAAAAGTCGATAGTTGCAATCATGAGTCATAAACAGGGTATCTACAAATTCACTATGGTTATACAGGATTACAAGAATGAGTTAGCAAAAAACATTAGCATAAATGGCTGACTCCAGATTTAAAGTTGTTCCAGATACTTGCAAAAATCACACTCGCTGAAGGTAACTACTTAAGTAACATGCATTTTTCCTATGAATCTCACTGCCTTCATAAATCCAGAAATATTTTATAAAAGGTGTGTGAAGAAGGAGACACGATCGCCGGGACAAGAGCTGACGTTTCGGATTTCTGCTCGAACCCATGCTCAGAGACAATGACAGATTGAGAACGTACTATTAGACAAGACATGCTTTCGTACAGGCCTGTTCAGGTTTCTGCGCCGAGACACTTCGGAAGAAGGAGATGCGCTCGGTGGAACAAGAAGTTCGCTGGCCTAAAGTTTCCGACTATCACTCGAACACATCACCAGGTCTTATATGCAATCGTCTTTGATGATGTGTTCGAATGAGTATCCAAAACGTCAGGCCAGCAAACTTCTTATCCCAGTAGTCTCTCCTCCTTCTGAACTGTATTCTAGAACTGCCTGTTCGCCTTTGTCGACATTCTGACGCTTGTTATGAATGTCTGCCTAGGAGACAGGTTGGAGAATCCTTCCTGCATTAAACACCCTTGAGCCTTTTGAGAGTTACAGGATTGGCCAAATGACAAAATCACTACGGAATTGTTACTGTCTGGATACACTTGAAAGCATGTCGGTCGGTATTGCACGCGTTCGGACGCAGTGTTGACTCTCACCGAGACATGCTATTTTATAGCAAATCTAATAAAGCTAGAGCCAAAGCGAAACTTCATGGCACATAACCTGATCTTGATATCCCACCATTGGTATGGATTTAGGTCACAAAAGGAAAAATAATAAATCGTACTTTACGGCTTTTTAGTGCAATGTTCTAAATTATCGCAGATTCTGCACGCAGAGCATAGCTCTTAGATAGACAGTCTCTTTAATAATCGGTAGATAGCTTGGTGGTTTAAGAAAAGAGGCGTTACGAATATCCTCTGGGACTGAAATTTTGGATATCCTAGGTCTGAGGCCACGCTTGCATTTGGCAGTGGTTATAAGCACAGTAGTACCAGTCAAGGCCACCTTTCGCCGAGTGCAAATGTTCCTGCATTAAAACACTTGCGTATTTCGATCTCAACAAATTCCAACTGATGCCAGTAAATATGCCATACATATCTTGAACTTGTTAATATTTCTGATCAATATCGCTGTCTTAAAACCACTAATACAGCTCCTGCCTGCGACAACGTATGTGATAAGCATATCTTAAACTTGGTGACATATGTGCTCAATGTTTCAACTTGGAGTCTCCCACACAGCTCCGTCCAGTAGCTCTAAAGCGGCGTCAGTAACGACTCCATCCCCACAGGTTCATTCGGAAGTTAGCAGTTTGGTTTTAACAAATGGGATCTGTCAATAGAAGCGGAGAGAGGAGTCACAGGAAGCAGTCTTTTAGAAGGGGATACGATCGCTGGGATAAGAGCTTTCTTAGCCTGACGCTTCGGATTACTTATATAACCCATCATCACGAACAAAAGTAGATATGGGTGGTCCATGCATAAGGGGCTGCAGTATTTACAGGATGCAGTTGGCATGCTACCGCATACCTATGAATATGCACGGCTCCTCCTCTTCATCAGAGATCGTCGCACTTGGTGTGCAGATTGCTTGATGGCCGACATTCGCGTCGTTAATTGCTGCAATTTCATCACCTGCGTTGGATGTTGGTGTGATGATTGTTCGACCATCTGACCCACGGATCCTGACAATGGGAACTGTGTTTGTCTGTGCGCTATCCGCGTGGCTAGTTACGCCGCCTAGGCGAAGTCCCAGCACCGAATATGGTATGGGAAGGTCGTTGCACTTGTTAATGGACAGGGGGGCAGTAAACCATGACTCAAGAGGCTGCCGCCTCATACGGTTGTCCCCTCCAGCGAGAATTTCGGCCTCATTGAATTTGGATGTGTGGCCGGATCTCGTCGAAGTAGCCGCAACTTAAGAGCTGGCGCCATCTCTCCGCACCGTTGCAGCTGGCTCGACCATTCGTGTTCGGAGCTGCCTTCTAGTTTCTCCAACGTAGTTACCTTGTCAACAGATGCATCAGATCCGATAAACGACTTCAGACTCCAAACGTCGGTGACGGAGTAATTAGCCACTCGGAGAGCGCACCGGTGCCCCTTTTCCTCAACGCCAGGGTCGGTGGTCAGATGGTCGAGCAATCATCACACCAACACCCAACGCGCGTTATCAAATTGCAGCCGCTTGTGCATGCACCACCCGTAGCTGCTTTTGTCTCTGATTATGGGTTCGAGTAGAAATCCGAAACTTCAGGCTAATAAGGCTATTGTCCCAGCGATCGTGTCTTTTTCTTCAAGAAATAATCTTTTGAACTCCGACTACAAGGAGTAAGGTATCATTATCGTCTGTGACTAATATTTACCAAATTATGTCTACTTATAAGCTAAAGTAGGACATTCAATACCATATCGAAAATACGCATGCGCTTGCCGCCTATTCCTCCTCAATGGCAGTCTCAGGCTAAATTATGTTTCAATTATTAGATGCAAAACCTCTTAAACTTGCGCCCGGATGGATACTTCTGTAATCCTTGCACTCCACAGATAACCCCAGGAATCCAGCACATTTCAATGTATACACATTTAAATTCTTAGGTCGGCAGGATCCTTAGACAGACTGTTTCCGCACTGCAGTTTTTATGTGCAGCTCGAATTCAGTTGCTCCCACACTTAGGCTCAGGGCACTCAGCGGTTCAATATAAATCTCTCTGTATCTGATGGACGGCAGGCGCGGGTTTTTAACTGTTCTACTCCCGAACGTCTCCTAGTCCACGAAAAATACCACCTGTACGGAAAACAACCTCGTCCCCATCCCTTTCAGGTTGAGAATAAATTGAGATTTAAGGCCCTTCCCTAAAGAGAATTTAATGCATGTTGGTGAACGTTTGCTTTCAGATCGAACTTGTCCTTGAAAGGTACATCTGCAGTAGCCAGTGCAAATCGTGAAACGTGATAGCGGAGATCTAGACAATCATCATATCGGGCTACAATGTTCCAGCTAGTGTAATTTCTACATGCGGGACATTTATCCTGGTAATTTTATTAGGAAAAGTGTTCAGAAATTCGAGCTCAGATCAATTTTACCTTGTTCTCGACAAATGCATTCAAGGAACATTGCACTTTGGAGGCTTTGATAAATGCAGTATATAATCTGTCCTTTTGAGCAGCCGATGAAGAGAACTTCACTCTGCATGGTATTCACTGGCATCGCTAAGGGCTACGAATCCGCTTTTTCTATTCAAATTAATTAATCGTCGCTTGGCCACTGATTATGTGGCCTTAAGAAACCTTCTATTCCTGCGACGCTCTTGTCAACGAAATCGGGCGAAATTCTCTCAGCATTAGCATATTAAATCGTAAAAATGAAAAGAATCTACAAATATTCGTAAAACCGTCTTGAATCTGCAATTAACCCCGGAGGAAATTGACGACCACTGCATTTTATCTATGTAATCATTCGTGTATAGTATTTGACTATTTCCTATGTTTGTTCTGTTTATGTCATTTTATTTATTAAGTTATTTTCATAGAAAGGCTTTATGCACTTCTAATATTAGAGTGTATTTTTTAACGAGATTTCTTGCTTTTTCGGAATTATGGCTTTTCTCTAGAAAATCGGTAAATCTAAACAATGCCATAATATTTCAAATAGTCCCGTTATGTTTTCATGTTTCTTACAGTTGTTCAGTACTGATTGGAAGTTATGGAGGATGCAAGCTGGCCGACCTCTGAGTCCTCGGGATGTTTCATAAATTTGGGCGCATTCCATGATTTGTCCCAGCTTCTGTACTTCTAGCCACACTTTCTTAATTTTTACCAAATCGTAAGTAAGCGTCGTGATTATTTGGATGAGTGGAGTGTCTATTTTTATCCAGTAATGCGTCTTCTGCCAATATCAAGAACTAATAGCCTTTCTAACTGTCAATCCTTTGCTGTTGATTACGGCGGCAATTACGGCCTTGGGCAATCTTTTTTGGTTTCAGTCTTTGAGGTTTCCACTGCTGGTCTCGCATGGATGCGTGAGTTGTAAATCTTCTTGGTCGACCAAGCAGTAGATCTTGCCACTAGAAGTGTCTTCTATCAGCAAAGAGTAAGAGTCGCAGACTTTGCCGCAAAAATCGTTGTTTTTATGTTGTCTAAGCTTCACTGCTAACCACACCGATTCTCCTCGACCTCATAAAAACTGGCTGTGACCCCTAAAATGCCCCCACCCCGTAACGCACAGTTCTTCGTTGTAGGTCTCCTCCGCGTGGTTTCCACATACTTCTGAACGATCAGTCTGTTATGCGAACATAGAGCCAGTTTATCTGACGTACCAACGCAGGCCTGGCATGGTCCCGGTATCCACACCCCACTCTGCGGTTGTGTTGACACAGTACGGCACGTCATGGAGGTTCTTGACAGCGTGTTGTTGTCCGATGAGGCGTAACCCGTCTCGCAGTCAAAGAACACCTGTTGGCCGTACTTAAAGCGCGTCTGATTCTGCGGCGAAACGGACTCCGGACGAGCATTGCAGAGCGAGAGGATGTCTAGCTGGCAAAATGCCTCTAAATATACGGGCAGAGCAGAAGACGTCGTAAGCATACGAGAAGGAAATTTCTGGAGGAGAAGCAAGGCTACCTCTGGTGTAATCTTTTGATCGTTTATCAAGATAACTCCCGCTCTAGATTGAAGAGCAGTTGGAGAAGACGAATAAGAACATCGGGCTGGGAAACGCGAACGCAATTGCACGAAACCCTATCTAACCACGCGGGTTCGGCATCACAAAGTTAAAAAAATAGCAGAGAAATGTCTCTTAATCCCGAGGCCGTCACTTGAAACTTCATACTTGAAACTGCATCCATTACGGGTGGCTGCGTAACTCCTGTTACGCTGTGGGGAGTTCTGTCGGCGACTAATAGGACAGGTATTCGAACCCTAAACTACCCTTAGTTCACAAGCCATTTAGGGAAGACCTCCACTCTTGATCGCACGCCAGTGAAGCTAGGGGTGGGAGACTGCCCACATCCTGCCAAGTAATTATTTGTGATTCGTCGGTGGGTCAAACTGTTGTGATCCCGCATTTTAATTGTTGCGTAATTATTTACCGTGCTGACTAAACGGGTATTAGCTAAAAGCCCAGACACGCGTGTTTCGTCGATCTTGTCCTGCTGCCTGACGCAGTTGCCACCTTGCGGTATTTTTGGTTCACGACGACAGCTTCAGCAAAACCAGACAGCGAGTCTGACACTTTTTCCTGATTCTGATGATAAACTCAAGCACGAGTTTAGAACACCAAGTAAATACATCCGATTTCCTAGAGGACGAGCGCCCGTCCACTCCACCTTTTCTTTAGAATTGATCTGATTTCCCCTTCATCCTATTTAAATAAATTATCATGCAGTTGGCAGACCTCAAAAGATTATACTCCGGACAGTCTGACGTGGGAGGAATTTCACTTGGAATGTCTTCTTGATTATATCGATGGTCTTTTGCCACGTCATTCGTTGTAATGTCCAAAAAAATCTTATGTTAGCCAATTCCGATTAGTGGTTCGATCTCCACTTGCATATTTTCCACTATCACTGAGTGCGCGATCAGACATAAGGAAAGGGTCGCCAAAAAGAGCTTGCATACTGATTGATTTAGCCAACTCACAGCAACAAATTGTTCAACCTCATTTGCCAGCTACTTACTGCTACCTAGGGGAAATTACTACAATTTCACTGAGTAGGCGAACGAGCGAAAACACCGAGCGTTTGAGTACAGAGGCCCAGAGTCTCCCATTATATTAAATTCGTGCTTTCATTTTAATTTCCATAGGAATTATTGTGAGTTAAATCATTTGGAAGAAACAGTTATAGGCTTGGTCCTAAAGTTGATATGAATGTGTGCGATCGAATCTCCAGTTACTGCGGCATAGCCGCTTTCTCTCCGCAACTTTCCACCACTGGAGTCCCTTTTTCCGAAAATTTTGAATTCATACTTTTAAAATAAAGCGAACTCCAAAAGAAGAGGGGGCGTTCACCGGGAGGGGTTTATTTGAGGTCCGACGTTTCGGGTAGTTTATTCGTCTACCCATCTTCAGAGACTGGGAAGTCCCGTGCACAGTACTCCTTACTATGGCGCCTATTGTCCAATGCGTGATCCGTCAATGCCGTCTGTGTGGCTGCATCCAACCTGCATGCAGTACGCCATCCGCCAGACTGGATGAGATAAAGCTCCTCCGAGAACTTTTCAGAGCCAATGGCTATCAGCGGGCATTCATTGAACGAAGCCGGAGGCAGCCAAAGAAACGGAACGAAGAGCATAGTCAGCCAAACTCGTGGCGGAGCATTCCGTATATTAAAGGGGTCTCCGAGGTCGTGGCTCGATCACTCGCGCCACTCGGAATAGGTGTTGCCCACAGGCCTGAGTCAACAATCCGCCGGCAAGTGATGCGGCCGAAAGATCCGATCCCTAAGCAGGAGATGTCGGCCGTTGTCTACCAACTTCAATGCAGCTGCGGAAGTTGAAACTACGTTGGGGAAACCGGCCGACAGCTGCAAACGCAAATGCACGAGCATAAGTTGGCCGTGCGAGCGAAGGTTGGACCCAAAGTCGGAGGTAGCAACCCATGCCGCGCAAATGGGACACATCTTCAACTTTGACGTCGTTGAGATTGTGGGCCGGGGCAGCGATCACACAGCAAGACAACTGCAAGAAGCCTGGATGTCCACCGACCGCTCCGTCAACCGCCACATCAATTTGCCTCCCTCCTATCTGACTTTACGAACCTTCTTAGCGGGGGACAATCACGGCGCGGGACAATCGGGGCCGTCAGTCATCACCGCGGCCGACGGGGACGATTCAGGTCACGGTGACGTGCGGGTTGGATGCAGCCACACAGGCGGCATTGGCGGACCACGCATTGGACAATGGGCGCCATAATAAGGAGTGCTGTGCACAGGACTCCCCAGTCTCTGAAGATGGGTAGACGAATAAACTACCCGAAACGTCGGACTTCAAATAAACCCCTCCTGGTGAACGCCCCCTCTTCTTTTGATACGCCACCTGGGAATCGCATTTTCACTACTATTAAAGCGTACTCCTTTTTCTCACCCTCATTCTCTCATCGGTCAGCCAATAGTGTATACGCGACAGTTCGGCCGTCGATTCCACCGTGTGCTGCACAGCTGGGTGCAGCAGGCACGGTGATTTAAGCAGGAATCAGTATCTACCGCATTCTCGCTTCCCCACTGCCCACCTGGACTCGGTGTCAAGACAGCGTCAAGAAGACCGGAGGCGAGGAGGACGCAGATGACTGGCACGGCCGGACACACACCTGGACATGCCACCACACCCCCTGGTCCACAACACACACTTGACCAGGGTTTTCACGAACATCAACACACCAAGAGGAGTCGGAAGGACGAGGATGTCTAGGTAACCATGCCAACCACCTATATACAAAGGTGACGCACAAGGGCATCTACCAGCAGGGAACCAGGTGTCAGGGAGCTGCCAGCACATACCACGGGGGAAAGGTTCATAGTTTGCTGAGACTGGCATAGCACACGCTTCCAGACCTTTTAACCCGCATACACACTGACTGACTCACCATACTGACAGTTCAATGCTCCCCATGTGTTTTCTGGTATATGCTCTAGTTTTAATGCACAGTTTTTTTAATTTCCCCTAAAATTGCTATGCTTTAGTGAGTTCTTCGGCGTACAAAATGTCCACGCGGAAAGCTGGTGGAATTAGTGTGGAGCCGCATCCTCTAATACTTGCGTCATATACCCGCAAAAACAAGCAGGAATTTAACATTTTAATTTCGTGTTTTTTCTAGGTGCTCGTTAGGAATAGCTGTAGCTTCAGTATTTGGATTATCCCTTCTCGTCCTGCTTTTATACGTAGTACAGTTTTCAGTTGCGCTTTATTCGACATCATCTCACAGATACTCAATATGACTTGGTCTGATCTGCGGTTTCGCTTAAATAAAAGGTAGAGTGGGAGGTTTTCATGAATTATGCTTTAAGGGCCAATGCAGTCGGAAATTCCAGTTCTGTTGTCGGAGCGCGCTCTATTAGGAGAGGATCTGCATGTGGTTAACTATAACCATGTGCATTTGAACGAAGTGTTTATAATAATACCGACGATGGCAGACGAGAAAGATGAAAACTACGCAAATCTGGTGTCCACGCGTTTGTAGATCTGCTCACATAGTCGCACGAACTTGGAAAGGGGGTATTTGACAGTGGCTACAGTCGTCACTATAAGGACATTAATCATGATAGACACTGGAAAAGGTGAGGACCTGTCTATTATTCTAACAGCTGACTAGCGTGCCACCGGGTATGAAATTGAGAAGCTAGCGGCTCGAGCACTTCTAGAGACACATGTTCATTGACAGTATTAATTCACTATTTCAATGGGATGCATCAGCAAAAATGGTTTTACCCCACACGAAATTCTGCAGTTATCAGAAAGAAATGGAACTAACACCAAGAGAATCGCTGATGCAAGCGAAGACGTGAGTTCCAGGAACTAGTTGATAAGGAGTTGAAGTATTCACTGCAACCGGAGCTTTGGCCACCTTAAGTGTCGCATTCACACTCAAACACATCATCAGAGAGTCGAGTGATCCGCACACAGAAAGTTGCAATATTTGTAGGTATGCAGCCGCTGTGTTCTGCATACATATGATTACTAACTGCTCTCGCCTCATCCATGATTTTTGTCCGCTGGTGCGCTAGCAGTCGGACATCTGGCATGCAAGTGGTTAGTTGCTAAAATCTCATCACCCGTGTTGGATGCTGGCGTGATGATTGCTCGGTCATCTGGCTCCCCGAGTGGCTAATTACTTTGGTCAGACTACACTTCAGTACTGAATATGGGGTAGGGATGTCAGTACACTGCTTTATAGACTGGGGTCCCATGAACCATGAGTCAAGTAACTCGCGGCTCATGCGATTATCACCTGTCGTGGAAATTTCGGCCTCATCGATCATAACTGTGTGCCGGGGTCTCTTCGAATGAACTGCGACTTGAGAGTTGGCGTCATCTCTCCGCACTGATGCCGCGTGTTCGACGGTTCGCGTACAGAGGCAGATGGCCGAGTAATCATCACACCAGCATCCAACACGGGTGATGAGACTGCAGCAATTAACAACTTGCATGCCGGCCATAAAGGAATTTGCCAATAAACGGGCAACAATCCTCGATGAAGGGGAGAACAGTTGACTATCTCTGGCATGCGATAGCGCAGCAACTGCATACCTACCAATATTTCAACTTCCTGTTCACGAATTACCCTAATTATTGTTGTCTCTGATAATGTGTTCTAGCTTGGGTTCGAAACCTCAGGCAAATAGGGCTTTGGTTCAGGCTATCGCTTCTACCTCTTATCAAGCAAAGCAACCTTCGTGGATCAACAACTTTGTCACAGTAATGTACTGTACTTGTAGTGTGACCCAATTATCTTTCTGCCCGTTTCATTAAACACACGTTAAGCTGCACAGACAGCATCGTACCGGTTGTAAGGTTTAATACTACGTCATACCGTCACAGTCCTGCAGAGGAATGCCGCTGTAGATGAACTGTGTCCTGAAGTAGGCCGGATCGCGAGAATGATTTGAGGACCTGGATCCAGTGCACTTGTAGGTGCCACGAGCCAGTGACGGATCGATGACCGGGGTGCTGCCTCTGTACTGTGCAGAGGACGAAGTGTTCGTCGGATAGTAGCCTGGGGCACACTGGACTGTCGTCGTTACTCCCACGTGCGGCGGGTTTGGCGTGAATACCATTTTGGCGGAGTTGAATCCGCCCGGTGGGGAGATGCAGTCGGCAACTAGTTGGGGTAGTAAAAATGCAGCCATTGCAGCCATAAAAACCCTTTAACTTTTTTAATGAGTAGAGTTAGTCCGAAAATAAAACATCCACTACGTCGTCAATCGCTGTGACTTCCAAATTCAAACCCGCATGTCGTTCTTTAGGTACGCCATACAATAGCCTTTGTGTCACATTTTGGAGTAGAAATTGTTGTATCCTGTTGGTCAACGTTTCTAATTCTACACGCCCCCTGCGCCAATGCTTCCATTTTTGGTCCCCTGTTGACATTCCCCTTTCTTGAAGAAGGAGACACGATCGCTGGGACAAGAGCTTTATTAGCCTGACGTTTCGGATTCCTGCTCGAACACATCATCAGAGAAAAAAGCAGGCCGCGGGAAGTGCTGCTCAAGGTCGAATGTGATGCGCTTAAGGAACTCAAGGCCGACAGGGACCTGGTCACCGTGCCAGCAGACAACGGGCGCTCCATGGTTGTACTGCACAGGACAGACTGCCTTCGAAAAGCCGAAGGTTTACTGGAGGACCGACAGTTCTATGTCCCGTGTGCAACGGACCCGGGAAAAGGGTTGATACACAAAATTAATGCTATGTTTTTGGTCTTGGAGAGGTCAGGTGCAATAACACCGACCGACAGACGCATGGCGAGACTCCAAGATACGGCTTTGGCTGATACTTCACCTAGGCGGAGTTATTAGCCACTCGGAGAGCGCACAGCTAAACAATTTTCCCAACGCCAGGGTCGGCGGTTTAGATGGTTGAACAATCATCACACCAACATCCAACGCACGTGAGGAAATTGCAGCAATTAACCACGCGAATGTCGGCCACCAAGCAGTCAGTACACCGCGTGCAACGACCCCTGATGAGGGGGAGGGGAAGGGGGAGACGTGAATATTCATAGGTATGCAGTAGCATGGCGACTGCATCCTATAAATACTGCAGCCCCCTGTGCATGAACTACCCGTAGCTGCTTTTGTCTCTGATGATGGGTTGGAGCAGGAATCCGAAACTTCAGGCTAATTAAGCTCTTGTCCCAGCGATCGCATCGCCTTTTTCAAGACTGCTTCCTGAGACTCGTCTCTTCTCTTCTATTCCCCTTTCTCCTTTTTAACCCTCCTTCAAGCATGACCAGTGTTCTTATAGTTAACAAGTTTTATATTTCGAACTTTAGCTGGAAATTCGATTTGTTTGAATTGTGATAAAAGAATTGTTTGCTAGGGTATCCACCGCTGCGTTTCGTACGTCTTTTGATTATTACCTATATTATATCAATAGTACCGTATATACACCGACGCTTGTTTTTTGGCTTATACGCTTCGTTTGGATTAGCCTAGAATTCAACAGATGACAGATGAGAGGAGACTTGCGGAGAATACGTTTCTTGTCTATTGCTGAACAACATCCGTAGTGGTAGTTCCACCATCGCTGCTGACGATCTCCACCCAGCAGCAGGGCGAGACCCGGAGCGGCGACTTGCGCATAAGTTACCTTTTAGTGATAATATACTTACAGTGCGCGACCTATCTCATGAAATGTTGGCTGAAATTCTGAAATGCGTTTTCGATTAGGAAGGATTACTTGATCACGGTTGTGATACTAATTATCCTAAGGCATACCCTTATAACATTTTGGACTCGGCAGGGTATCGGCTTTTAAATGCACTTCTTTTCAATCTCCTGTAGAAAGTGTGCTCGGTAAAACATGACTACTTAGGTAGCATGCATTTTTCCCATTGATTTTCGATGGTCTTGGAAATTCAAATATATTTTATAGAAACCACAAACAAAAATATGCTTTCTTTTATTTAATCAATAAAGAATAACGTCTTCTTTATATCTTATACTTAGGGAAGGAGTATAATGAGGTTTTAAAAAAGTTTCTAATTATGAGACTTTTTAAGACCGCGATATGTCCATTCACATAGCATTGTACCTGGCCGTTTACCACTGCTCCTCACGAAATGTACAACATGGCCCGCATCCATTGCAAAATTTTATGGACCCTGTATGATATCTCTTTAATGACATAGAGGAATATGGGATTTTCTTTACGCGGAACGCATGCACCTTGTAGAGTGTAATCACTAAGTGCTAATGCAACGAACGATCAGGCTCCAAATTTTTCGGCAATTAGAAAACTTTCTTTAAAACCTCATTATACTCCTTCCCTAAGTAAAAAATATAAAGAAGACGTGATTCTCTATTGATTGACTAAAAGAAAGCATATTTTTGTTTGTGGTTTCCATAAAATATATTTGAATTTCCAAGACCATCGAAAATCAATGGGAAAAATGCATGCTACTTAAGTAGTCATTTTTACCCATCACGCTTTCTACAGGAAACTGATAAGAAGTGCATTTAAAAGCCGACATCCTGCCGAGTCTAAAATGTTTTAAGACTATGCCTTAAGATAATCAGTATCACAACCGGGACCAAGTAATCCTTCTTAATCGAAAACGCATTTCAGAATTTCAGCCAACATTTCATGAGATCGGCCACTCACTGTACGCAGCATCTACTGCACTCTCTCCGCCGCCCCCACCTGAATCCGGTGAGCCTGCAAAATGGCCTGCCACCATGCCACAATTTTGGCATTTCTTATGGGTCTGCATCCCCCATAACACCTGTCGGGCCCTAATCTATAGTCCCAGCGCATCTACCCCCCTGTCTTAGGGACATAGTCTAGCAATTGTTAGTCTACAATCTGTAAGTTATTAAGGGGGGGGGGGCAAAAACTGCACTGAATATCTGTGTTGAGGTATCTGACTAATTTACCTTTGACAATTTAGCCTCATTTTCTTTGACCGCATTGCTTGTTTGAATGTGACGAGAAACGATACACCTGTACAACCCACCTTGCTAGCGTGCTCCTCTGTCGAGGTCTGTTGTCAGTTTTCTTAACGTTCAACATATCTATATTATTCACTGCTCCGTTTTTACTTGCTGCCTTTAAGGCTAGGGGCTCGTGAGATATAACTCGTTACTTCGTGAGAACATTACTATTTACCACATTGGTGACTCCCGACGTTAACGCAGACTTTATACCTTTCTGTCATACTGAATAACATTCAACGTACTATTTGTTTGTGAATATCTATTCCATTTGCATTTACTTTTCTCACGAATTCTGATATTTTGCCATCTCTGTTATATTATGACTCACTCCAATCAACAACTTGATGCCCCCGCCCAGCCCTTCATGCCATTAATTTTACCTTGCTTAAATTCTGGCAACACGCTCCAGAACCTTACTTCATCCGTATAGAATCAGCCTTTTATTCTGCCGACGTTACCAAGGAGCTGGCGAAGTACCACAAACTTGTGGAGGTCCTTCCCGCTAGTGTCATCTCTCAAGTTCAGTCCTTGCTAGCTAATCCTCCTGCAGATGCTCCCTATACCGCATTAAATGCAGAAATTCTCCGACTTAATTCTGTGTCTGACCGACAGCGCTATCACCAGTTAATTAAGGAGGAGTCACAGGGTGACCGAAAGCCCTCAGAGCTTCTACGTTGAATGCGTTCTCTCCTTGGAGACATGTAAGTTGACGATAAATTTGTCAAGGAGATGTTCCTAGAGCGTCTGCCCGCAGACGTTTAAACGATCCTGGCATCTGGTTCTCAGGATCTTACAGTATCACAGCTGGCTGAGATGGCGGATCGAATGATAGAGGTGCAGCGGTTCCAGTCACCATCCGTTGCCCATATCTCCTCATCTTCATTGTCAGTGAATGAACATTTGATGAAATAGGTGTCGGCCATGGCGGATGAGATGGCCTCCCTTAAAATACAGCTCGCCTTACTTCCAGTCGCTCATGCAGCCGTCGTCGTTCTCGTTCGCGACCTCGATACTTGTTGGCATCAAACTAGTTTCGGCTTAAAGGCCCGTCCCTGTTCCTCACCCTGCTCTTTTAAGCCGAAACAGGGACTCCACTCAGCCAAAGAATAGATGTGACCGTTTTCTCTGGCTCCTCGGGCTCTGGTCGCACCTTCTATGTTTGCGACACTGCGACTCGCAAACGTTTCCTGGCGGACACTGGAGCCTAAATCAGTGTTGTTCCCCCAACTGCAGCTGATTGTCGTTTCCCTAGCCCTGGTCTTCATCTCCAAGCTGCTAACTGTTCCCCCATTCTCACTTTTGGCAGTCTGTCCCTCACTCTGAACATTGGCCTTCGTCGGTCATTCACTTGGCTCTTTGTGATTGCTGATGTCCCTCATGCAATCCTCGGCTCGGACTCTCTTGCTGAGTTCGATCTCCTTGTTGACTGTTGACGTGCCCGTCTCCTCGACCGCACAACCGATCTGTTTGTTCGTGGACTAACTCCCTTTACTGGCCCCACCAACTTATCTGTCTTGGATACGGATATTGCTAGCACTTTTCGGCAACTGTTGCTTAGTCACTACAAAATAATTAACCCCAGTTTCGCAGTGGTGGAGTTCAACATGATGTTGTGCACCATATTCGTACCTCGGGTCCTCCTGTGTTTGCCCGACCGAGACGACTAGCACCGGAGCGTTTCCAGGCCGCGAAGGCGGAGTTTGAACACATGTTGAAACTTGGAATAATTCGACCGTCCGAGAGCCCTTGGGTGTCCCCATTGCACATGGTGCCCAAGGCAACATCAGGCGACGGGCGACCCTGTGGAGACTATCGAGCCCTCAACAGCGCTACCATTCCTGATCGGTATCCCGTGCCTCATCTTCAGGACTTTGCTGGAGCCCTTTTCGGCAAAGCGGTTTTCTCGAAGATTGATCTGGTGCGTGCTTTTCATTAGATTTCAGTCGCCCCTGAGGACATCCCTAAAACCGCCGTCGCCGCACTTTTCGGTCTCTTTGAGTTACTCCACATGCCGTTCGGTCTACGTAATGCCGCCCAAACGTTTAAGAGGTTCATCGACCATGTCTTAAGTGGCCTACACTTCGTGTACGCCTACATTGATGACCTCTTGGTGGCCAGCCGGAATGAAGAAGAACACAAAGAGCATCTTGCCTTGGTGTTTGACCGTCTTGACAAGTTTGGCGTTGTCATCAACTCCTCCAACT